CATTTTATCACCCAATTGGAACGCCTATTCTATTTTTATGTCTTGTTTATCCAAACATTGATGCTTAACGTGCAACGTTGAGATCAGAATAATTAGCACACCAGGCACACTGCAGAGTTAGTGAGAAGTTATTGTAGCTTTCTGGCAGATGAAATCAGAAGGAAAGGACTCCAGACTACAGAAGTTGAGACTGTCCTTTTTCCAGGCTCCCTTCCGTCTGCTTTTGTATGGCTCTCCAGCTCTATGGCTGGACTTGCTGCCAGTCAGCCTTCCTGTGGTGTAACCCAGAACTCTGTTCCTACCTCCTTATAAGCTGTCAAATGACTTCATGCAACTGAAGCACAAGCATTCAACTGGCCTTGACCTAATGCTGCTGAGGCCGTGGAGAAAGGTTTGGTGTTTGGCCCACCCCCTTGCAAATCCCAAATCGGGTTAAAATTAAGGCTCAAATAAATTTAAATCTGACGCTCTCAAAAAACCTTAACTTTGTTCAGATATTTTCTGTCATGTCTGTGCAGCTAAAAATTGGGGGAAAATATCACATCGAATTGATTAATTCTATCCCTGTACTAAACTCATTTAACTGGTTTTGATACATTTCCTGTTTTTCAACTGCTTAAATTGCTGGACATTGTTGACTGGATAAGATGAGTTTCCTGTGAAGTTCAAACGAGCTGGAACATTGGTTGGAATGCAGCACTTCATTTTAAAATACTAACAATTACTATGAATGTCGCGGTTAGGCCTCAGTGTGCAATTGCTGGATTACTTTGATCTGTTGACACGCGTTTCTCAGTTTAACTTTTATTCCACTCTCATTGGGTGAAATTTTCTTGGTTTCATCATTTTGTGTTATTTGGGGATTTTTTTCAGAAATAATTCTCTAGTTAGTCATTTGGTGGAACAGAACTTGAGAAGTGCTCAAAAAGAAGAGACACATTGTCAAAGTTTTTTATTTTGTACTCATCAGGACAGATTGAAGAAAGTTAAATTTCAAAGTAGTCAAGCAGCAGACGTTGATTAGTTGGCAAATTGACTCTGATTAATCCAGAGGGAGTTTAATTTAGATAAATATGAGGTGTTGCATTTTGGCAAGGCAAAGCAGGGTAGGATTTAGAAACTGTAATGGGCATTCTTAGACAATGAATGACCGAGAGTCATATAGCATGCAAACAGACCCATCGGCCCAACTAGTCCACGCTGACCATATATAGTCCCACTTGACTGCATTTGGCCTATATCCCTACAAACCTTTCCTATTCATGTAATTATCCAAATGCCTTTTAAATGTTGTAACTGTACCTGCAACTAAAAAAGTTGCCCTTCATGTCCTTCTTAAATCTTTAATATACACTTAATGGTAGGGCCCTGTGGAGTGTTGCTGAACAAAGGGACCTAGGGGTGCAGGTGCATAGCTCCTTAAAAGTGGGGTCACGGGTAGACAGGGTGGTGAAGGCGGTGTTTGATACGCTTGCCTTCATTGGTCATAACACTGAATATAGGAATTGGAATGTCATGTTGTAGTTGTACAAGACGTTGGTGAACCGCTTTTGGAATACCGTATACAATTCTGTTCACCCTTCTATAGGAAAGATATTATTAAACTTGAGAGGTCGCAAAAGAGATTTACAAGGATGTTGCCAAGACTCGAGGGTCTGAGCTACAGGAGGAGGCTGAATAGGCTGGGGCTTTTTTCCCAGGACCATCAGAGACTGAGGGGTGATCTTATTGAGGTTTATAAAATCATGAGGGACATGGATAGAGTTAACACCAAATGTCTTTTTCTAGGGTGGGAGAGTCCAAAACTCGAGGACATAGGTTTAAGGAGAGAGGGGAAAAATTTAAAAAGGTCCTGAGGGGTAACTTTTTCACGCAGAGGGTGGTGTATGTACGGAACAAGCTGCCGGTGGAAGTGGTGGAGGCTGGTACGATTACAATGTTTAAAAGGCATCTGGATGGGTAAACAAATAGGAAAGGTAAACAAATAGGAAGAGTAAACAAATAGGAAGGGTAAACAAATTGGAAGAGTAAACAAATTGGAAGAGTAAACAAATTGGAAGAGTAAACAAATAGGAAGGGTAAACAAATAGGAAGGGTAAACAAATAGGAAGGGTTTGGAGGGATATGGGCCAAATGCTGACAAATGGGACTTGGTCAGATTGGGATATCTGGTTGGCATGGATGTGTTGGACCAAAGGATCAATGCTGTTTCAATGCTTTATGACTGTTTGACTAAGTGTTGATATGGAGGATGCAGAAAATCTTTGTCCTGTACCAGAAAATTTTTGTCCCATCCAATTTTAATTCAAGAAAGGTACAATTTGTGGAATTGTTCCTTTTGCCTGTGGAGAACAGGTCCCTGTGTATTAACATATGTCACATCCAGCAAATCTACGTGAGCTACATGTGAGCCAGACTGATAATTTAAATTGGCTGTTAGCGTAATTCTTGGCAAACCAGGGATTTTTCAGCAAGTGGTGTCCAATCGTGAAATTACATCTAATATTAGACATTATGTTCTGAGCTTTCCAAGCATGGCATGGTTGAGGATGGTCAGTACTCTTTCCCTGTGATCAATGAAAGAAATCTACTCTGTGAAAAAATTCATATGCAATTGGCAGATTATAAGTAGTGCTGTGAGATCAGGTATGTGGACTGTACATCACAATGACTGGCAAATTAAACCAAACTTTCAGTTATTTACAACAGGCTTGCAAACCTCAGAGCATAATGTCCAAGATTACATATGTTATCATCAACTGGACAATCCCAAGTGTGCTAATTAAACTAACAACCAATTTAAGATTATCAGTTAGGCTTGTAATGTGACTCACTTGCACATACTGGGAATTACATATGTTATTACACCAGGGAAGTTCTCCTCTGCTGGCAAAAGTAAGATATCAGGCATTGTGTTGTTTTGAATTAACCTGAAGTATGGAGGCAACAATCCTTTCCCTGTGCATTCCTCATGGCAACACCTCTACCAGAATCAACTTGCCAACCAATCAACACTCTTTTCTCACACAGTGCATTCTCTCATACAACTTGTTGAGTACAGGATGGAAACCTCCAACAGCATGTCTCTTTCTCAGCAATATCAAATTCCACAGTTCTTTCTCACAATGTGGAAACACCTTTTCTTTTTCTTTTTGGCGTTTGTCAAAATCCATTTCCCATTCAAACATGGATTAATTTATTCAGGTACTCCTCAGTGTCAACAATTTCTGAAGGGTTGTCAACAATTCCACTGGTAAAAGTAGTCTCAATATTGATCATGTGACTGAGAGATGTTCTATTTACTCATTTTTCACACTTTTAAAATAATTTTGTTATATTTTTTATATTCTAGGGGCTATTACAACAGCATGAATAACTGATATTCAACTCTGTTTTATTCCAGTCTAATTTTAATCTTATCTACTGGAGTTTCCTCCAGGTTCCTCTGCACAACACTACCACAGAAATCAAGCAACCACAACCATAGAGAGTGAATACAAGATGAAGGACAGGCAGACAGAAAGAAAGTGAATTAGAGAGATTTACAATTTTCAGAGTGCTTCCACTACTGGCATCACCTTCTATGCCAGGCCTAATGTCAGCAAACCAAAACTCAGAAGTGGTACACCCTTACTATGGGTCCCAGTCATTAACACTCTTCAATGTGTCACTCAATCTGAAGCTTTTCTCAAACATGGCTACATTAATTTAATATTCTCAGCAATAACGTGTTGTTATTTCCAACGGAGGTAACTCAGACAATGGTGGTTGAATACTACTGACAAAAGTTAAAGTTTCGAGTTGGCTGGATGGCCAGTTTACGATCTAGCATAACATCAACACCGTATATTCAATTCTTGCATTGGCTCAGGTTACCATGAAGGACTCTCTTTCTAATCCTCTTTGCTCACCTAAGGCATGGTGATCCTTAGGTTAAACCACCACTAATCATCTCTTTCTAACAAGAGAGCAGCCCCACGGTCTGGTAAGACAATACTGGCTTTACTTTTATTTCATTTTTGAATGGGATTATCTATAAATACAAAAATGTAATTCAAGACACGTAGGAAAAAGTCACTAAATTCTACTTTTGCCTCTTAGATATGGAAACATAACTTAATAATTTCATGAATAACAAATCCCAAAACTCAAAATACAAGTCATGAACCTACTTATAGTCTCTCTGAAATAACACTTTGAAAAGAAGTAAACTCTATTTTATTGTGATGTTGTTGGGAATTGAGAGTAGTCAAAGACTTAAGGTTTTTCACTGGTGCTTTTCAATTGAAGATAGCGAAATTCTCAACAAAATTTGCACAGTTGTCTATTTTAACCTATCAGTTCTGATGTTTCATGTATTTGCTAAAAACACGGTGCCTCCACAAGTTTTAAAACCTATTTTATATATGAAACTGTTTGTCACACATGCTTTCAAAAGTTAATTTGCTTGCTATATCGTATATACTTTTGTATTACACAATGCTGTGGCACATTAAGAGAAAAGATTTTCCTTAAAAATGTAAACTGACACACTTTTGGTATGACTTCGAAATAATTATATCAAAAGAGCAATTCCTTACAGGGGTTAAAAACTACACTGAGTGATATCAGCAATGAATGTGTTAATCACCATGTTTTCATCAAGAGAATAAACCCATATAAAGTGATCTATTTTTCACAGGAATTAAAAAAATATTGGCACCTGAAAATACTGCTTCCACTACTATCAGAAGTGGGGCATCAGATTTAGTTTAATGCACTACCCAACACATCGTCAGTAACAAATGCAAAAAATACAACTACTATTTGAAGCAGCAACAACTGAAGTTCATGTTCATTGAATACAATGGAATGCTTATATTTATAAAATCTGGTATATCCCTGTAAAATTAAATCACTGTTATACTTAGAAAGAAAATTATGGTTCATTTTAAAATTTCAAACTGTCAAAAAGAAGCTTTGATAGCAGACATAAAACAACAGAGTGGCTTAAATCTTACCTGCTTCTAGTAGAATTCGGACAACATCCAGCTTTCCAAACAAAGCAGCTTCATGCAGGGCACTCCCCTTCTCTGTCTACAAAGCACACATGTGGATTTTTATAACTGCACTCAACATACATGGAACTGATAATATATTGAACTTCTAACTGAATGCAACAAGTTATTAACATCATTCATCTGTCCCATTCTTCACAACAAACACATTGAACGACATTCTATGATTTAAATACATATTTTCAAATGCCACTGTTCTGTTCACGTTCTGTGTTTATTGCAGAAATAATGCTCGTACTTGAAACATACCAATACTGGATATGATCGAAACCATTACCTTTTGCTCCTTCGGCATCTCCAAACTGGTTGCATAGATCAGATTAGTGTTGATGTCTTAAAGATTATCACAATAAGTAGCTGTGCAGAGTTTGAAAATGAGCGTGCCCGGAGTATTTTGTAGTTCAGCACATTGCTTTGTGGTTTTGGTTGTTCAGTCTCTTCACAGCTTAATGCATATCAGCAGAACTATCAACAGCTTTCTTAAACACAAGTGGTTACTGAGATAATTGGTATAAAAGACAGCTAAACCACAGAAAGCTCTTACCAGCATTCAAAGTGCTGCGTTATGTATAAAATGGATGCACAGGATACAAAAGCCTCGCCTTATTCAGAAAGGTTCTTCCTGTCTTATTTCCTTGAATGATTAGGAATTGATGATGTCAAACAAAGGAAATCTCTCTTGCCACACCATTTCCAGGAATTTAACTGGAAAAAAGATGGGGTTTTTTTCGCTGCTGCTGGGGGCAATCACTCCACATAACATTTTGAGGTTAATTTGTTTCTATACACACAAGTCATTTCCTTTCTTTATTGAGTTGTCACTTCCCGACCAAGTAATCTCCAATATAAATGGAGTTATAGTAACATATCTTAGGAAAATGTTTTAAAAAGTATTTCCAACAGTGTTCAAGTTTGAAATTCTGTGTTTGACAGGCCGGAGTTGACAGCCATGTAATAGAATCTTGAAGTCCTCACTATTTTTGTAATTGAGACAAAGTGGCAGTTTGTTCAATTTTTGGACAGACAATGCAAATACCACAGAAGAATTGTTTTTGACCTTGTGCTGATCAATTCTTTAAGCAATTTCCTTCATAGAAATTGTTGAAAAATTGAAAAATGACAAATATTTGATTCGAACCTTTGATGCATGCAACTAAATTTAAAATAGGTAATCCTGAAACAGCAGCATTGTCCAGTCAAATTCATGCAAATCTAACATTAAAGTGTGACTAACAAAAAGATAGTCAAAACTATTTAAATTACCTCATGTCAACTACACTGAATATCAAAGGCTATGATCAAAAGCTGAAAATAAAGTATCATAGAAATCATAGAACGGTCAGTGCGAAGAAAAAGGCCATTTGGCCCATTGTATTGGACTGGCTCTCTGATGGAGGAATTTATCTAGACCCACTTCCTCCACTGTCATTTTAATACTCAAAACATTCCCAACCTGACCTTGGGAAGAGTCCGGATAGATTTGCTTGTATTTAATGGAGAATTTCACCGCATCATCAGCAAATATTTATCCGGGTGGATCAAGGTTAAGAAATTGCATAGAACTACAGAAGGAATTATTGGAGTCTTCAAAATGATATTTACAACACACAGTCTCCCTGATGTGCTTGTTTCAGATAAAAGGCCACAATTCACAAATGAGAGCTTCAGCCACTTCACTGATAAGTTTGGATTTGGGTATGTCACAAGCTCAACGTAGAACCCACAAACTAACAGGGAGGGCAAATGTGGCATCAGAATGGTTACGATGATCTGGAAACGGCATTCCAATTTCATCACAGCATTAATGAATTAATGGTCCACCATACCCCAAAGCAGTCTATAACTGTCTCATGATGGACAACAAGCTGAAGGCTCGGCTCACTAACTAACCTGAGAAATTAGGTCTACAGTTACACCATCATGATTACCAAGCAGTACATGACAAAGAGGAATCCTATCACAATCAGCAAGCCACATATTACAATAAATGCTACCATATGAGGAATAGGTGTGGATTAGGGATTTAAACAGAAAAGGCACAATCTTCCACAGAGCTGGAAGCCAACATACATAATACATTGCCCATACTGCCATTAAGGTCATGTGAAGGAATTGCACAAACTTCATCCCCTTATGATTGACACAGCCTCGATTATTGACTAGGATGAACTGAATGGAGAGCCTGACAACAGAGGAATACCTCAGGCCATCAGGAAGATTGTCCAAGAGACCAGCTAACATTCTGCCACATCCAAAGAGAACACATTCAGGGAGAACAGTGAAACATCCAGATGGTCTGAATTGATAAATTCAAAGAAATGGCAAGGAAGTGGGATACTGGTCAATGTAATTACATAAATAAATGTATAACAATCATGTAGTGCAACACGTTTGGGAGGGTAAGGGAATGTAGTATGAGGGTCTGAAAGCGTTAACACTGATCGTGTCATCAGCATCATTTACTGTGATGATTTTTGGGGACTGGTCTAAGGCTTTTGGAGGAACCAGACTCCTAACAGTCTCTCTAATAATATAAACCATATCCTGATAATATGTAAATTGTTGTAGAAATACAAGAAACTATATCTTTTGGTATTACAGAACTTGAGTATTGCCAAAAATAAAGACATTATTCAAATTTTTCTGCCACACACTCAACAGGACATTTTGTAAGAAGCAAACGTTAAAGTAGAAAATAATTTATATTGCATGAGAGGAGAATGCAGATTGGTTGGCAAATGGACTGAGATTGGTAGGGGCATGGTAAAAGAGAATGCATCAATTAATGATGATTGGCAGTTAACTGCCAGGCTTCAGCAACACTCAAACTATATCTTAGCTACCAGACTCTTTTTACTTAGACCAAAAGATGTCTACTGTACCCACACTAAATAACTCAGGCTCTACAAAGACATGTACCTGAAAGATATTTGTCGCAGCATATATCCCACTCTCATATTTTTCCTTTGCAGAGAATAACACAAATCCCTCTTGGATGCCCCAATTGAATCTGTTTCCACCTTTTCCACATTTTCGTGTAGTGCATTCCAGACCCTAGCTACTTTCTGCATGAAAAGGCTTTGCCTCCCATGTCTCCATTGCTTCGTTTGCCAATTAACTTAAATCGGTGTTCATGTTCTCATTCCTTCCAACAACGGGAAGGATATTTATAATTGCAAGCATGAAAACCAAGATTAGTGGGAAAATACTACATATTTTTGGGACTTGATAATTTTACAGTTTTATGTATATATAACTATATAGCTGAAAAGTATATTTGTATATTTCAAAATCTGCCCATCATTCCAAGTTGAAACAGAAAACCTAAGGGGCTATGCCCAAAGAGTAGAGCAATGGGATGATTGGATAGCTGCAAAGAGCCAGGATAGGCACGAATGGCTTCCTTCTGCACTGTATTTGTCTATGATTCTACAATAGTGCACGGTAACCTACATTTTCACCCACCTGACAGTTCACATCCATGCCGGCCTCCAACAAAACCTGGACCACAGCCTTGTGTCCATTGCGTGCAGCAAGATGTAAAGGAGTGTGCTTTTTGGTATTGCAGCTCATCAAATTGGGATGCGCGTTTATTAACATCTTGACCACCTGCAAGCGGCCATAGAGTGCAGCTAAGTCAAGGGGGGTTTCAAACTTGTTGTTCCTTATAGTGGGATCAGTCAGTTCCTCCAAAAGGACGGCGACCACCTCCGAGTGTCCATACTGTGCTGCACAATGCAACGCAGTTTCATTCTCATTGTTCTGTTCAAGTAAAGAGCAGCAAAAGGAAAGACCATCACAAGACATTCGTGAAAAATGCATTTGTCAAATAAACAACATGAAAAAACTTCCATATTATTATTGCAAAATATATTTCTGCAAAATATTGAAAAATAAGATTGAAACAGAAAAGGGGAAGGTCATCAATTTACCTTACATTTTCTAAAAATGCTCAGAAGTTACAGGAAAAGTGCAAAAAAAATTTAAATAATCGGGGCCGTGGGGTGGGAATTGTCTAGGCATCTAACCAAGATCAACATGTGTGCTACTTCTATGCGATGAAAGTGCACCCAAATCCATCTCTGAGTCATTTGCATAGCCTGGGCACTATTGTAGCAAGGGTGCAGGCGTTGAGAGGGTTTTGCAAAGGGATTGGAGAAGCTAATACACAAACTTCGTCCTAGTTGCTGACACTGGCTGCTGCTCTCTAAAGGCTCAGAAGATTTAACACCTTTGTGGGTATTGAAATGAAAACAGTCCAACTTCTCTGGTTGCTTACTGGGTGTGTCCCACTGTCACAAAGGAGTGCCAGAGAAATCTGTAACATTTGATTTAGAGCACTCCTCTGCGCATAAATCAAGGTGGCTGGGGAAGGGTGTGGGGTTCTTTCTCACTAGGTTGGTCTGGGCCTAACTAAGGTACAAACCTGTACCAGTCATCAGGTTTCACAGCAATCCTCTGAAAATCCTGAGATTGTATAGTGAGACAGGGCAGCTGACACAATGAGTCATTATCCCATTGTATTCTTTGCTGCGCTTGGGGCCAGAACATTCCTCATGTTTCAGAATGTCTCATGTAACAAAATCTCATAAGTCTAACATATTTCTAACTAAGCTGTAGAATCCGGAAATAACAATCTATGGCAGCGTTCAACTTAGAACTTTCTCTGAATAGATGCAAATGATCTTGCATCTTTCATGGAGTACATCTTCCATAAACTACTTATATCTTCCGACTAGAATTTAAATTAAATAGTGGGTGGGGGAGGAGGACTGGGGGAGTGGGGTCAGTAGCATGAAAAATTACAGAAAGAGTTAAGGTGGGGGACCAGCTTACAAGAGGTTATGAAAGCTTACAGAGCCAGTAATAGGACAGAGTATGGGAAGGATCAGGAGTCTAACTTCAGACACAGCAGATAAGGGGACAACTATGAGAACGGCAGTCAATGCCAGATTTAAGATGTTGTATTTAAATGCACGCAGTATACAAAACAAGATAAATGAGCTTGTAGCACAGATTGAAATCGGCAAATACAATGTAGTGGGTATCACAGAGACATGGCTGCAAAGAGATCAGAGCAGAAAATAAATATCCAAGGATACGTATCCTCCTGAAAGAACAGACAAATGGGCAGAGGGACAAGTTGCCTCGTTTGCTTAAGAAATGAAATTAAAGCAAATCGATGACAGGAAGTGAAATCAAGTCAGAAGGCGTAGAATCTGTGTAGATAGCGTTGAGGAGCCATAAAGGAAAAATAACCTTAACAGGAGTTGTGTACAGGCCTCCTAGCAGTAGTCAGGGTGAGGGGAAGAAAATAAATCAGGAGACAGAAAAGGCATGTAAGAAAGGCACTATTACAATAGTCATGGGAGACTTCAATATGTAGGTGGACTGGGAAAATCAGGTTGGTGGTGGATCACAAGAAAAGGAATTTGGGGCATGTCTATGAGACAGCAGCTAGTGGTAGAGCCCACTAGGGAACAGACAATTCTGGATTTGGTGATGTGGCAGACTTGATTAGGAAGCTCAAGGTGAAGGAGGCTGTAGGGGCTATGATTATAATATCATAGAATTCACCCTGCAGTTTGAGAGGGAGAAGCTGGAATCTGATGTAAGGGTGTTACAATTGAGTAAAGGGAACTACAAAGACATGAAGGAGGTGCTGGCCAGTTAATTGGAAGGGGAGCATTACAGGGAAGACAGTGGAGCAGCAATGGCAGAGTTTCTGTGGGTGATTATTGAGGCGCAAGGAGGAAGAATCCTATTAAGGGGAGGAGGAAGGCAATGATGGCTGACAAGGGAAGTCAGGGACAGCATAAATGCAGAAGATAAATCATACAATGTGGTGGAGATTAATGGGATGCCAGACGATTGGAAAGACTTTAAAAACCATCAGAGGATAACTAAAATGCAATAGTAGTCAGAAGTTGAAACATGATGGTAAAACAGTTAGGAATATAAAAGAAGATTGCAAGACTACTTACATGTACAAAAGGGAAGAGAGAGGCCAAGACTGGATACTGGACTAATGGAAAGTGAGACAAGAGAAGTAGTAATGGGGAACAAAGAAATGGCAGAGGAAGTGAATCGGTTTTCATCAGTTTTCACAGTGGAAGACACCAGCAGCATATCAGAACTTCAACAGAGTCAGGGGACAGAGGTCAGTGTAGTGGCCATCACTAAGGAAAAGGTTCTGGGGAAGCTGCAAGGTCTGACAGTTGGTGTTTTTTTCTCTGCTGATCTTCTCGTTCAGGATTCACTGGAGTCAGGGTAGGTCCCAGAGGGCTAGAAAATAGCTAAAGTAACATATCTGTTTCAAAGGTAGAGCAGAGGAGAGGAAATTATAGGCTCGTTGGCATGATCTTGGTCATTGGTAAAATTTGAAAGTTCACTATTAGGGATAAGATTGCAGAGTACTTCAAAGTGCAGGGTAATATATGGCTGACCCAGCATGGGCTCGTCAAGGGGAGGTCATGCCTGACAAATCTGTTAGAATTCTTTGAGGGGGTAACAAGCAAGTTCAACAAATGGAAACAAGCTATGTGGATTTCCAGAAAGCCTTTGACAAGGTGCCACACAGGAGGCTGCGAAATAAGATAAGAGCCCGTGATATTCGGGGCAAGGTACTTGCATGGATACAGGACTGGCTGACAAGAAGGCCAAGAGTAAGGTTAAAGCGGCCTTTTTCAGGATGGCAGCCAATGACAGGTGGAGTTCCGCAGAGGTTAGTGTTGGGACCACAAAAACTTTAATTATACATGAACGATGCGCAGGAAAGAACTGAGTGTGCAGATGACACAAAGATGGGTGGGGGGACAGGTAGCGTTGAGGAAGCAGGGAAGCTGCAGAAGGACTTGGACAGGCTGGGAGAGTGGGTAAAGAGGTGCAGATGCAATACAGTGTGGGAAAGTGTGAGGTTACGCACTTTGGTGGGAAGAATAGACGCATAGACTATTTTCTAAATGGAGAAAGGTTTTGGAAATCTGGAGCACAAAGGGACTTACGGGACTTATTTCAGGATTCTCTTAAGGTTAATGTGCCAGTTTCGTTAGCAATTGGGAAGGCAAATGTAATGTTAGCATTCATTTCAAGAGAGCTAGAATACAAGAGCAGAGATGTACTGCCAAGCCTGTATAAGGCTCAGGTCAGACACATTTGTAAATATTGTGAACAGTTTTGGCCTCCATATTTAAAGAAGAATGTGCTGGCATTAAACAGGGGTCCAGAGGAGGTTTACAAGAATGATCCTGGGGATGAACAGCTTGTCATATGAATAGCCAGTGTGGACTCTGAGTGTGTGTTTAGAGTTTAGAAGGATGAAGGCAGATCTGATTAGAACGTAAAGAATATAACAGGCTTGGATGTGGAGAAGATGTTTCCACTAGTAGGAGAGACTTGGATCTGAGGACACAGGCTCAGAGTGAAGGGATGACCCATTAGAGCTGAGATGAGGAGGATTTTTTTCAGCCAGAGGGTGGTAAAACAGTAGAATTCATTGGTACAGATGGCTGTGGAAGCCAAGTCATTGAATTTATTTAAGACAGAGATAGATAGATTTTTGATTAGTAAGGGAATCAAGGGTCATGGGGAGAAGGAAGAAGAATGTGGTTGAGAAACATTCAGCCATGAACTAATGGTGGAGCAGATTCAATTAGATGAATGGCCTAATTCTGCTCCTATATGTTATGGTCTTAGGTCTTAGTCAGATTCATCACTAAACATACAAATATGTGATTATTAGGTCTGAATTATTTACTTCTGTGGAGTAAACAAATTCACAATGTAATTTCAACATGCAGCAGAATACAATAAAGCACATCAGATTTAAGTAAGAGTTTTCAACCCACATAACTCTGAAGGATAATTTTATAAAAGAAAATCTGTTTTCATTGTCATGATACATCATCCTGCAAAATGAATATCACAAGTGAAACAATTAACAAAGGATCTGATACAAAATTGAGTCAGGTCAACTTGTGTTCTAGAGGCTCTAATCACAAGCAGGATTTCCTGTGTTTTTTTTCCTGAATAATGGAGAGGAACTGCACCTTCAAAATTACTGATGTCCAGAGTGCTTAGTAAACAGGCCCTTATGCACGTGACTGCTGACAAAGCTGTTTCTCTTAGTTTGACTAACAGATGCCCTGCACACAGAGTCCAAGCTTAAAGCTGGCCAATGCTTCATACCAATGCATCTTTCAAATCAGGTTGCTTTCTTAAGGTTTTTGTACTCTCTGCAAAATATCACCTGATGTGGCTCAGGGACCCTGTTCTGGGAAAGGCAGCCTCTGTTGCACTTTTTGTAGAGGAAGGCAGTGGGCAGGAAAGCTGCAGTGTCACTGGCCTCTGATTTCTCCAGTCCCTCACTCAGCCAGCTGAGATTTTATTTGGCACTGACTAGTTTGCAGGAGATTCCAGGAAGATAACATGGGTTCTTTGGGCTCGACTCCAGAAATGTTGTCAATGTTTAATCCTTTTGCCTTTAACACTGTCGAGGTATGCACAAAGCAGTGAAGCAATACACCTGCAGCAGCGTGAGTGTGAGGGTGTCCACGTTCCACTGGGCTACATATCCTGGAGCCAAATCTGTCCTGAATTCCCCAGAAGTTATAACCTGGGGTTACAAGTGACTCCAATGATATCCTGAGAAGGCAAGGCAGAGGGGAAGATGCTGTGTACTGATCAGGAGTGACTTCTTCATTTAGCTGTCCTTTGCATGAGTCCAGTAGGTTGATGTGGTATGAATAGCAAGGGTGGTGAGA